TGCTTATTTTAGATATCCTATGACGTCACTCCATGCTGAGTATATCTATATATACAAAATTTAATATTTGTATAACTACCGGAATAATCATATTTGGGCGAAATTAAAAAAGAGTAACGATTTTTTTTCGATTTCCTACAGTTTGCAATAAACAATAATGAATTCAATTTTCCATGCAAGTACCCTATTAGAAACAATTTTGCAAAGGATTAGGAGGGTTAGACGGCGAAATTTCCAAAAAAAAAATAAAATAATTTTTCGGATATGTTACCTCCAATGTGGTACGAAACCCATTGTCTGCTGGTTTTCTTTTTCGAGCTTGATGGTGTGTAGCTGCTCCAGTCTGCGGATACAGCCTACAAGAAAATTTTGCATGAAGGTTCAAAGCAGAAATATTCTTCCTGAAGTAGTTACCTTTAGACAGATTTGATACTTTCACTAATTTTTTCTTTCTCTTTTCCTTCGTCTCTTGAATCATGAGATTCGGGTGCCTTGAAATAGTATATTACATGCGGAGGTGGAAAGTGTTTCATCAATGTCGAGAGATACTATGGTTGACCGAGGTGCGAAGAAAATAAGGTAAAAATATGACAAAAATGGAATTTCGACTGACACTCTGACACCGACATTGACATCTTATGAAGTTTCAATAATGGCTGAGTTCGTTTTCGTCCTCGCAGAGCGGATGAGATTAGATGGATTTTCAAATCACGTGACTCACGAGTTGTCTGACTGCTCGGTAATTTTCGTACAGTTCATGAAGATATTTGGGAAATTTGTAACATAACCCTATTTTTATTTAATGTTTATATTGATATTTTTCTAAACTTTTTTAGTAAAAGTAAAGTAAAATGGAAGTTACGAAATTTTTGCCAGTTTTAGTGCCGGTACTTTGGCTCTCATTTCACAGCTGTTAAAGATAATCAGGGGTTTGAATGTGCTCGAACCACATCATACTTATAGAAATTGGCCCATGCAAAACTTTGACGACGTATCAAATTCGTTAATCGATAGCAAAAGTATCAGCCCTTAATGTATTTTACAAACGAAATATTATTTGAAGATGAAGAAGAATAACGCTTCAAAGAACCAAAAATTGTTAATTTCGTTGAAGATGTTATTCACTGCTTTGAAGACAGAAAATTTAAGAGACATTTTCGAATGGGCCCATCAACAATGGAACACTTATTACAAATAATTCAAACTGTTATACCAGGGCTGCGTTCAAAAACGGCTAAAGCCAAGCCAAAATTGGCATATTGCGTTCAAGTTCGGCTTCAGCGTGTTTAAAACAGTTGGCTTTACACGTTCAAAATCGGCCGCGGTAAAGTAACTTTTGGAGGTGCTTTCAACTGAGTCTAGAAATGGTTATACGAATTTTGATTGGATAAGTGGGGTCTGTCACTTTTGGCACAAATAACAGCACATAAATAATACAATACAAAAAGCTTCTAGAACGGAAGTGGAAGTGGTGAATAGATAATAGCCGGAGAGCCAGCGCCGGAAAAATTCTCTGAATTTACTAAAGCCAGTTTTTGGTCAGTTGATTACAGTATTTACGTACATTAACATACCTCGGTCAGTCAAGCGAAACTTGGGACAAGGACCTAGGGTGTCTGGTTAAAGTTGTCAAGATAGCTAGGTAATGTAACGAATTTACTAAGGCTGAAAATCGCTATACATATTATATATAACATAACACATAAATAACAGTGATGTTTTTCAGTCAGTTGAATAGCGGAACTGGGCCGGTCATTCAGCCCCATTGAGGTAGTTCAGCCCCAATTTATGTAAAAAAAATAATAGGTCTATTTTTTTTAGAGTGACAGCGTGACAGTGACAATTCAAAATTGTAGGTTGAAGTTCAAATTGATAGGTTTGTTCAGTAATATTAATATTTTTTGCAGATTTTTACATTTATTGGGGCTGACTGACCAGCACGGTCCCGCTATTCAACTGACTGATTAACACTACTGTTATTTATATGTTATATATAATATGTATAACGATTTTCAGCTTTAGTAAATTCGTTGCATTACCCAAGTTATCTCGACACCTTTAACAAGACACCCTGAGTCCTTGTCCCAAGTTTCGCTTGACTGACCGCGGTATGTTTATGTACGTAAATACTATAATCAACTGTCCAAAAACTAGCCTTAGTAAATTCAGAGATTTTTTTCGGCGCTGGCTCTTAGACTATAATACTAACGCTGACGATCTGAAAATAATAAATTTAGGAATTTTTACGAACAGTAAAAAATAAGCATAAACAAACCAGGGACAAATTTATAGGTTAATTTTGATGGCAAGTGTCATGAGAACGTGCGTTTTTATTCTCATCGATGCGCTCATTGATTAACGGCCAGTTCCATAATCACGAAAAAGCCTACTTTATTCTTAAAAAGCACCTTTAACTTCTAAAGCCTGTTCCATAAACAGTTTTTGAAGGAGCCATTACGAAAAAGTGACGTTTTACCTTAAAGTGCCGAGCTTGGCCAATTACGCGTTGAAAAGAATACTTTATAGGGCAATTTAACCTATAAGGTGCCAAATTACAGGTTCTGTGTGTTGGTAATTTCATGTCAGAATCTAAATGGCAAATTTCGACCCATTCATATGAAGAGGATAAAGATTCAATCATAGTTAAACCTCCAAAGGAGCGGACTTCCCAAGGTAAAATTATATTAAGCGATACAGGATAAGAGTGGAGTTTTTTGAAAAATATGACGACATAGAATTCTTTAACCGGTTTAGGTTAACAAAGCTGACTGTTGGAGCCCTACTTGATGAAAAAGCCCACAAGCTTCCTTTTTTTTTTAAATTGTCTTTTTGCTTCCATTAATCTACATTTCTTACAACCGTTCCACTAACACTGTAAGCTAAAGCTACCCGTTCCCAAGCGTTCTCCATAGATTTCAAGCATAGGATAAAACCAAATTGGAACTATAGTGGAATTAATTAAACAGTGTATGCACGTGATCAAAATTACTGACATAAGCACGTCGCAATGTTGCCGCTATTAACTTTCGTTTTACTTTGACATACCATGTCTAGTCAAATTTGTTATCACTAAAGCAAACAAACATCGATTTTTATATGTATAGATAGTGTATTATGAACACAATCTAAAAAAACTACTCACTTTTCGTCGTAAATTTGATTGCGAATAGAGCTAACATCAAGGTGATCTTGACTCGTAACTTGCTTCTAATGTGGACGTTTTTTCTTTGGTGAATTTAACGCTAAATTATCCCTAACTTTTTGGGTTTTTACGTTGGATTTTACTCACAGTGGTTATAGGTACCTACCAATATTCAGTGCAGCTGCAACAAGCTAGAAAAATATTCCCAATTAAAGCCCCAGAAAATTTATATTTGATAGTATCAATATACTTCACCTCTCTAACGCTATTTAGGGCCGGTTCGACAATTCAGGTATATACCTAGTATAGGCTATACCTAGAATAAAAATTCATTATTGGGTTCGACAATTGCCGTATAACGATATTCGGAGAATAAATTAGGGTATAAGTTATCCGGCCGTCCTCGACCGTATATACTCGGAATAAAGTTATACTGTCTTTCTATTGGTCGGAGTTGGACTTGATTATCTGTGCTGATTGATAATCAGCTGTTAGTGTTTGTCAGTTTTTCCGTTTCTCAAGGTGCATAATAACCTAAAAACTATTTTAAATTTTAAAATTGGTAATTGTTTTTTACTTTTTGTGTTCTGTTTTGTGGAAAAAAAAATAGAATGGATCTTTTTGAAGTAAATATTTTTGAATCAGACGACGAGGAGCTTGATGAAGAACTTATATTAAATCGAAGACCAAGAACTTTTAAAGCAAGGTAAAAAATACTCTGGTTTGATACAAAATTTGATTTCATAAAAATGTTTTTTAGGCCCAATTATTTCGAAGAATACGACGAGCTGGATTTTTTTAAGCATTTCCGGTTACAAAAGCAAACATGTTTTATGCTGTTGAATTTAATTGAAAATCAAATTAAATCAACAACAGATCGCAATAATGCAATCCAACCAGAAACAAAGTTGTTTTTAACTTTGCGATTTTATGCAACAGGATGCATGTTGATTACATCAGGAGATTTCACTGGAGTGAGCAAAACTTCTTCATGCGACATTGTTGCCCAAGTCTCTGAAGCGATTGCAAATCTACGACAGAGATACAAAAAATTCCCATCGACAGAAGCCGAGTGTCAGAGGGCAAAAGAGGAATTTTATAGAATTGCCAGATTTCCACAAGTGATCGGAACCATTGATTGTACCCATGTTCGCATTGTTTCCCCAGAAGGAGATCAAGCAGAGAGGTATCGGAATCGAAAAGGATACTTTTCCTGGAATGTCCAAACGATCTGTGATGCCAACCTAAAAATCACTGACATTGTTGCTCGCTGGCCTGGTTCATCCCATGATCAAACAATTTTTAATAATAGTAGGATTAGGGGAAGATTGGAAAACAGAGACTTTGGGACAGCTGTGATTTTGGGAGACAGTGGTTACGGTAACACCAACTATTTATTAACCCCCTTGGAACAGCCAAATACTCCTGCAGAAACACTTTATAATGAGTCCCAAATTCGCACTCGAAACTGTGCGGAAAGAAGCTATGGAGTGTGGAAAAGAAGATTTCTCGTTCTTTCATTGGGTATGCGGATGTCACTGGAACGTACGCAGGCTATAATAGTTGCAACTGCTGTTCTCCATAATATAGCAATAGAGGAACATGACGAAGAGCCACCTCATGAAATTGACGTCGAAGAAGTGGATATGGGCATACCGCCTGTTGCAAATGTAAGGGTTGCTCGAGAGCAAAATAGAATGCGAGCCTCTCTCATTTTGAATCATTTTTCAAATTTATTATAAATATTATTTATACTCACAAATAAAAAAAAAACTCTTATTTATTGTATTCATATTATATTTATTCAAAATCCATGCTTTGAAAACAAGTTAAATAAACAAATTCAATTTCAATTTTATCAATTTATTTTTCCTTGCAAATCTGCCAACAAAACTTTAATTTCTAGTTCGTGCTTTTCAGCACTTTGCTTCGTTTTTTGTATAGCTTCCTCTTTTTGGAGCTCAAAAAGTGCCCTCTTCTCTTCCCTTTCTTCTTCGATGACTTTCATTTGAAGATCGATCAGTGCCATTTTTTTTAGAACTAGCTCTTCTTGTAGTTGTTCGTAACGAGTTTTTGTGGACCTGATTTTTGTAGGAATTGGTTCTACTTTATAAACCCTCTTCCTCTTGTTAATGGTAGAACCTGAAAAAATACAGTTGTTTTTTATAAATGTCGTTTATATTATCATAAAAAACATTACATTGTGGTGTTTCCAAAGTAAGTGGAGTCCTGGTGGCCAATTCATCTTTTTGACATACAATTTTTTCGTCATCAACGGTCATAGAAACAGCTTTGTTTTCTGCAACATAAAAAAAATCAGTATTAGTCTTTTCGACCAAATTTAAAAGTTCTTCCTTACCAGAAATTTGCAAGGCTTTGGTTTTAGGCTGCCTCAACTGCTGCGGATTCCAGTTCTTCCAACTGCATGAGGGCTGTAAGAGATAATGTTTTACTGTTTTTTTTTTTTTCATAATTTAAAACTTATTTTATATTACCTCATAGATATCTTCAGTTGTTATATTCTCAGGTGAAGGATTTATTTCTATAGCTAGTACAGAAACTGTCGATTCTGATTCTTGAGCGCTAGGTATGTCTATAGCTTCCGTGACTGGAGTATCTAGACTAGGATCTATAAAATATTTGATAGAAAACATAAAATTAAAGATATTCTTATGTAGGTGGAATGATAAAAAAATATTTACCAAGATCAGAATCAAATCTAGAAGTAGTTCCTGTAGCTCCAACACCGACTATAGCTAGGACACGATTAGTAATTCCATCAAAATCTCCAAAGCATCCTGGTCCACCACCAGTTTTGTACAAACTTTGTTTGTGCTCTGCAAACTCTTTTTTGATTTTTTTCCATTTGCTTCTTAACATTTTCGCCGTTCTGGCTGTTCCAGATAGGGCATTGAATCTTGACTCCATTTTCTGCCATTCTGCCTCCTTCATGGAATTGGTGACGGTGTCAGTTTTCTTACACTCTAATAAATATGTAATGTTAGGAAATGATTAGCAAAACCAGTACATGTACTTACCAAGAATATCTTCAAAGTCCTCCACTAAACCCACTAAAATGTCAGTTTCAGTTGATGTAAAATTGTTACACCGTTTTTTATCCATTATTGGTTTGAATAAAAATAGAATCTCATTACACAAATATACTAACAATAGGGAATGAAACTTATCCGCTCAACAAATTAACTGATCAGTTCAAATGCCAAAGAGGAACTGTTTTGAAAACCAACACCCAACACATAAGTAATATAATAATGCATAATTAATAAGTAAGTAGAAACTTTGTAAGTAGGCATCATGATTTTTTTTCTGAGAAAATCCAAAAAACCTGGTTTATGTTAATTAATTATTCTATACCTGAGCTGAAAGGGTGTACTTGGGTTTACAATTGAATACCTAAAATTACCATAATACGAATACAAATTATACAAAATTCCAAAATATAAGTAATGTCTTTCCATAGTGCAAACACGACGCAAACACAAATAAATTAATATAAACAAAAACAAAAAAGGTAGGTTCAGTTCACAACTCATTTCTTAAACCCTTGCTATTTTACTGGCATCTGTCAAAAAAATGGTTGCCTCGAGTAACTAACTTCACGTTTCTCGGATAATCTCGGAAAATCTCGGAATAACTATACGGCTCTTGCAAAATCATTATCGAACCGGCGGCCAGATATACTCGGGATAAATCAAGGTATAAGATATTCGGGGTATTACAATACTGAGATTTATACTGGCATTGTCGAACCGGCCCTTAATGGCAAAAAGGGGCCCCCATTATCTCGTTCCTGTTCAAAGAAACTAATTAGAGACACAACGAGTTTCTGACTCTGACTATTCAATGGCTTTGGCATTTTATAGATACACAAATAGAAATAATTTCAAATTATTAAAATCAGTAACCGCAGATTTGCAGCAATATTTGTAACATAACCCATGAGTGCCAATCTAAATGTCATTTTATCGGCCGATTCGGTTAAATGCCAACAGTGCTCTGTCTTTTTTTAACTAAGGTTAAATAAAAAAGAGAATGAGCTCTCAGCTTGAAACGAATTTTAATTTCTTACAAACTGCAATTGGCAATAATTTCGACGTCATTGATCACGTGCATACACTGTTTAAATAATTTCACTATACAAACCTTGTCTGCATTTGCTAATTTATTTGTTTCTTTATTTTCAATAATTTCAAGTTTGCGCTCTTGATAAATAGCTTCCTATAAACGAATTTAATCCTCCTTTGAAAAAGGGGCACTTTTCTTTCTTTCATTTTGTTCTCTGCATTTATTTCAATCATTATTCAAATGACTACAAATGTAGAATTTTTGTCAACACACGTCAAAACCAACTTCAGCTCTTCAATTTCAGTGTTGCCAAATCGGAAAAACTGATAATTAAGTACTCCTTTTTGTAGCAGACGATTTGAAATGTTTTATGGAACCCAACTGACTTTAAGGGCTGCATAAAGTATGCTTTAACGAAAAGTGTTCTTTTTTTAAAGCCGGCCTAACATCATATTTATGGAACTGGCCGTAAGAGGAAATGTCAATTGGCTGTTTTTATTCTCATCAGTTAAACACCGATGAATTTCATCTGTCTGTTTTTATTCTCATATGACGTAAAATGTACCCTCAAAATTATGTTGACTTTTGTTGACGGCCGACGGGTATCGTAATCGTATGGTTTGTTTTGCATTTGTATTTATTATGTGAAGATTTGCGAAGACGTTAACAAAAAAAATAAAAATTGGCATGTTCAAGTGATCTGAAGGGTATGAAAACTTAGACTATGAACTACAACTGAATTTTAACGCTGTTTTTGTCATAAAAATTTTGAATGGAGTATTGGAGTAAACTGAAGGTCTTCTAATACAGTCTATAAAGGGATAAATATAACACTGATTACTAAAACAATTTTAAATTAAGAAATACCAAACCTAAAAGCTCTGAGCATAAAAGCGCCAAATTGACTTTGTTTGTGAGAAGTGAGAAATATATCTGAAATATCAAATCAAACTAATTTGTGAGTTCTTAAAGCTCGGCTCACTCTCTCAAAGTTTTTTTTTTCAATAACTCACCTCTACTCTCCACTACAGTCCTAGTAAGTCTAAAATGAGACAATCTGAATCACTATACAAAGGAACTACGGAAGAAATATAATTTTGTATTTTTTTATGTTTTTTTGTTTTCTGCAATTCAAGTAAAACTATTTCATCTGAAGAGCTTTCAGCATCATCGCTTGATGATGATGAAGAGCTGACAAATCACAATTCTTTTAACTAACACTAGACCTGCAATCATGGAATGGTTACGGGTTTTTAACAAATAAAAAATAACATACACATAAGTTTGCCAAACCAAATAAACAACACAAATTTTCAATGTCAAGGTCAAGAGTATCAATTCAAATGTCAAAATCCATCGAAGTGTCTTTTAGTGGATTCATTTCATCAACAAAAATGCGATGAATTTTGACGACGTACTGCTCATCGGCGCTCATCGGTGATGGAATTCATCAGGAAAACTCGATGAGAATAAAAACGCACGTAGAATTGAGAAACGGTATTTTAGTCCAAGAAACGGGGATCTGAAGAGAGGGTTTACCTCAACATAATTAGAAGTTGAAATTTTTTTGGGGGGATCGGTCCATTTTAATATGCTAAACAACATATTAAGTTTGCGACCTTGTACTTCCATAGGGTTTTCAGTTAGGGGTGGTTTTTAGGGGTAATTTGCGGTTTATGGAGAACGCTGCTCAAAGGGACGTTCAATAGCAAAAAGTTTCAAATGAATGTTGTAGCTGAAGTATTTTTCTATAAAAAACTCAGGGACAGCACCCCTTTATCTTCTATAGTTTTTTTTCTGCAGCGTCTTGAATAGTAGCATGTTTTTGTTCAAGGTTACTGAATCAACGTTTTGCCATTTTGCGCGCATTTGTTGCAGCAGCGGCCGAATACATAATCCGATTTCAATATTTCAAACACCACATTATTGCTAATGAAATGCACTCTCCAATGCTTGTTTGTTCGAATTTTTTGCTTGAAAATTAAGCGAGCACGGACTTGTCTAATGTTTGAGGAAGTTGTAAAATGCATCGAAAACTACCCCTTTCTTGCATTCACTGTAATTTCTAAACCGGGCCAAATATTTGGTGACAGTTTTCAACAATCGGCAGCCCATTTATTCCTCTCATAATGCCCCAGCGGATTTTTTTTTTCGTTAATTACCTAATGACTTATTGGCCTGAAAACGTCGCGCGGGATTTTTCAAAAAGTAAAAAAAAATTAAAATTGTCGCATAGCGCTGAAATTTGGTACGATGGCCTTATTTATTGTTCTTACGAATATACTGCAATTTTAATTGCTTCACATGATATAAAATTGCAGTATATTCATGAGAACAATAAATAAAGCCATCGTACCAAATTTCAGCGCCATGCGACAATTTTATTTTTTTTTTACTTTTTGAAAAATCCCGCGCGAAGTTTTCAGGCCAATAAGTCATTAAGTAATTAACGAAAAAAAAAATCCGCTGGGGCATTATGAGAGGAATAAATGGGCTGCCGATTGTCGAAAACTGTCACCAAATATTTGGCCCCGTTTAGAAATTACAGTGAATGCAAGAAAGGGGTAGTTTTCGATGCAATTTACAACTTCCTCGCACATTAGACAAGTCCGTGCTCCCTTAATTTTCAAGCAAAAAATTCGAACAAAAAAGCATTGGAGAGTGCATTTCATTAGCAATAATGTGGTGTTTGAAAAATTGAAATCGGATTATGCATTCGGCCGCTGCTGCAACAAAAGCGCAAAATGGCAAAACGTTGATTCAGTAACCTTGAACAAAAACATGCTACTATTCAAGACGCTGCAGAAAAAAAACTATAGAAGATAAAGGGGTGCTGTCGCTGAGTTTTTTATAGCAAAAAACTTCAGCTACAACATTGATTTGAAACTTTTTAATATTGGACCATCCCTTTGATCAGCGTTCTCCATAAACCGCAAATTACCCCTAAAAACCACCCCTAACTAAAAACCCTATGGAAGTACAAGGTCGCAAACTTAATATGTTATTAAGCACATGAAAATGAACCGATCCCCCCCAAAAAATGTTAACTTCTAATTATGTTGAGGTAAACTTCCTTCATTGCTTGGCCTATTTGGCGTTCCAGCAAATTCACACCAGACTTGGCATCGCCGGTAGAAGGGGAAAAGTAGGTTTTGGCATTAGCATTGCCGACCTCAAACGCACTCCAGAGGTCCCTGTCGCTAAAGGGCATCCTCAGCTTACAATAAAAAAACAGCTTTTAATAACAGAATAACAGTTTGGTATTTAGCAAACATTGAATGTTTCCGGTTTCCGGTGAGTAATAATAGGGTGTACCAATGGAGTACCCACCTTTGACCTTTATATACCCTTTTTATGAGCCGGCATGCATGAATATTTCCTCCCCTATGTCTACAAAGCTTAATTTTTCCTAAAAATTAGAAACTGAGATATTTGCGAGCTGTTTCTTATGTTCTTTATATTCTTTTTTAGCTCAGTAGCGCAAAGATTTCATGTTACCAAATCAACAGCATAGACAGTGTTGATGAGAATGGGCGACTGGATTTTATTAGCAAACACGAAGTTTAAAATAATTTCTTGGCCTACCAGGGAAAGAGCCTTAGAAATATCTAACAGTTTTCGGAATATCAATGGGTTTCCTGGTAAGTAAATTTCTGCTCCAAGTTTGAGCTCTAAATAATAATAAATGAATTTCGATTTTAAAGGCTATAATAGCACCAGATAGAACAGAAATTAAAAATTATTAAATTATTTAGATGTATGAACAAACACAGAAAAATAAAACAAGGTTGAAGGGCTCTGCTGGGATTTGAGATAGAGGTAGCGATAGTGGTCGAAAATTCACTGTCGATAGTTTCGATAGCGTTAACATCCAATATCGGTACTATTGATAAACAATCGATAGTTTTTAAAAATACTACTTTAGAGAATTAAATCCTTTTATTTTAAAAAACAATATTTTCAACTCTTTGATTTCTAGCCACCCGAAACGAACATATATTATTTATCCTATATACCTAACATAAACATAGTAAAAA